CGTGTCCCCACCCGTCTCCTGACAGGCCTAACGGGTCTCTCTGCAGCATTCGGGGGTTTCAGGCACAGTCACCTCATTAGGCAGATCTTTAATGTGCTTTAGCAGGCAAAAGCACCCCAGAACCCTGGCACGTTCCGCCCATGGGCTGCGTGGGCACGGCTGTGGCAAGGGCTGGCTGCGGATTTCCTGTGTTAAAAGTAACCCACTTGATCAAATGTATGAAATAGGATATGTCAAGAGCTTTGTAATGTTTTGAACAACCCATAAAAAAAATAAAAATAAAAATAAATTATGTGTAAAAAAAGTGTGATATAAATATCCAGATGTGAAAGCAGCGTGGGCTCTCTAGGCCCTGCCTGGGCTCCAGAGGAGACCTGCTTTCTCTTGTAAGTTTCATATTGATAGCAACGTGCCAGCCTGGATGGAGAGCAGCGCACACAGAGCTGGTCCTGCTGCTGAGCAGAGCCGGTCCACACGCGGCGGGGTCACAGCACTCGCAGAGCCTGGGCCCTGTGCCAGGCCAGAGGCCGGAGGTGAGCCACACGGAGACACAGTGACCAAGGCGAGCCTCGAAGGTCTGCCCGCCCACCCCATCGCTCTCGGGCCACCAAGAAGCAAGACAGCAACCCTCCTGAGGCGCGGGAGGGGTGCAGCCTCCCCGTGGTCCCTCCCGTGCTGTGTCCAGTGGGGTTAACTCGGGAGACGGAGCCCGACATTCACGCTGCGGTCTCCACTAGAACACTAAGACAGAAACCCCACAGGGTCTCATGTTACTTGTTGAATAAAGTATATAATGTTGCAGTTTGGGGTTAGCATTTCTTTCACTCATAAGTTTTTTCATTTACAAAAATAATCTCGATTCCCCTTATTTGTAGACGTGTTAGTTCCTCACTCCTTACAGGTGGCACAGTGAGTCTGATGACGGAGGGACAGAAACTTGTGCTTCCTAAACACTCCAAAGCTGGTGCCTCACCAGCCTCGCCCGAGGGGAGGCCCCTGTGTTCGCAGTGCTGTCTTTACAGGACCCGCCTGGGCACAGGAGCATCACCGCAGGGTGGACACAGAGTGGTGTGGCCATCAGGCCCCCCGTACCTGGAGGAGCCGGGACTTCAGCTCTAGCAGGCCTGGCCCCCTCATGCCAGGGCTCGTCACCCCCTTTCAGTTCTCGAGAAACCCAGGGCCTGCTGTGGGCCCTTCTCTGCTCACCAGCACTTTACTCTTCGGGTCACTCGTCTTTCTTCTGGGTGGCCGGGAGAAGCTGGCCTTTGGCGGCCTTTAAGAAGAGCTTTCCGGCAGAATCTTTTCAAAAGTCCTTTCTATGGGGGCAACAAGCAGCGCTCCCAGAGCCTTCTGACGTCCCCCCCCCAAGGCTCTGCAGGAAACCTTTGTGCTGCTCCAGTGCTGTCCCCACGTTCTTGTCTGCACGGTGGCAGCAGCAGGGAGCAGCATGCACAAGGTTTCCAGGCACTGAGGGCCACTGGTGGGGGAGGGGAAGCAGAAGTGTCCTGGAGAGGCCACTGGGAGGTGTCCAGGGGCTGGGGAGCCAGCTGGTAGCCGTGATGGGGAGGGTTCACATCATGAAAATGGGCAAAGGCTGTAGGGCAGAACACGGCTGCTTTCTCCCAGTGTCTGATACCAGCTCCCAGCTGGACGTACGGAAAATCAAGACATCAGTTTGTAAAAACAGGCTAAGGAGCAGGCAAGGAGAGAGAAGGAGCAGCGTGGAGGGCTGCTGTCCCCCAGTTGCCGTGTCTCCAGGGCTCCAGGCACGGGAGCTGTGCCCTTCTGAAGGAGGCGCCAGCAGACTCCCGGCCCCTTCTGCCAGGAGCAGACCCTGCCACCAGCCCACCTCGGGGACAGAGAGCAGCCTCCAACTCTGCCAGACATGGAGCCTGTGACCCCGGCCTGGAGGAGCGAGCACTCTGTCCCCAGTGACTGAAGGCTGTCATCAGCCCCAAGGGACTAGCAGGACAGTAGGAGACTAGACTGTGAGACAATGCAGACTCTGTCCCTGAAGACACAAAGCGCACCTGGTGTCCAAGGAAGGACCTCTGTACTTCACAGCCATCAGGATGCTGCTGTGACTCACGCCCCCCCCAACCAGGAGGTAAGACAGGAGCTGGAGCCCCCGCTCCCACCCCCTGCCTGCCACGTGGCCCAGCGTGTCCACCTCCCGAGTGCCTGAAGGAGCTCCAGGCCTGCTCCACGGAGACGCTGCCCACCGTTCGGAGCAGCCTCCTCCACAGAGCCAGAGGCACGAGCAGGCTGCGACCCTCGAGGGACAAGTGAGTGGACGCTATGGCTCTGGTGGGGCATCAGAGAGACTTGGTTTCAAGGGGGGGAAATGTCCCACCTGCTGTGGCCGATGGAGCGTGAAGACCTGATGCTGGTGACACAGTCTGGTCACAGATGGACCCTGCAGTGCGTCTCCACCCTCTGAACTGAGGGGGTCATGGCCACAGAAATGGAAAGTGCGGGGGTGCCAGGTGTGGGGCGAGTCAGCGTCAAACGGGGACAGACTTTCAGTTTCACAAGAAGAATGAGTTCTGCCCTGCCCTGAACCCACGCGTGGAAGAGGCCTTTGGTGTGTTTTTGTGGTACTTGGGATTGAACCCAGGCTCACCCCCAGCCCTTTTTAGTTTTGATTTTGAGACAGGGCCTCTCTCAGCTGCCCAGGCTGGCCTTGAAGCTGCCGTCCTCCTGCCTCAGCCTCCCCAGTAGCTGGGATTGCAGGTGTGTGACACCACACCTGTCAGAGACGCATTTTGAAGGCGACTATTGTTTATGAACACTGGGCACATGCTCTGGAGGACTCTGAGCATCACGTTATTTTCCTCACAGTCCACAAATAAGCCAAAGGGAGATTTGGAGTCCACTCATTATCCTGGCCTCGAAATAAATCAAAGTTATTTTAGAAACCAGGCTACTAAATAATAAAGCTCGCTGGAATGGGTGAGTGTCCACTCACTCACTTCGCCCCTTGGTCCATCAAGTGAATATTGTGCACTGATCTCTGAGTGAAACGCTGGATTCAAAGCAAGTTCCTGCACTGGGATCTTCAAGGGCTGGTGGGGCCCTCTGGGTGCAGACAGGGCACAGGTGGGACAGGGTGCGACAGGCCGAGTCGCTGCTCTGGGGTGTGCGGGTGCCGGGTGTTGTCCTGAGGTTGCTGGGTCCTCACAGGTGGGCCCTGACGTTCTGGCAGAAGTCCTGGCCTGGGGGGCCTGTGGACATGGCTGAGGAGGAACGGCTGCCCGGTGGGTCTGGAAAGAGAAAGGGAGATGAGCAGAACCTTGAAAGCGAGAGCGTGCTCTCCGTGGGGAAGAGAGACATGGGGCTTGCAGTGAGCTCCGGGCTCCCAGCTGGCAGGGTGTGCAGGGTGCAGACGGGGCTGAGGCCTGCGAGGCTCACAGGGGAAGCGGGTGCCGTCTCCTTACCAGGGGGCCGTCACACGGAAGAAACCCAAACCAGCCGCGGTCCTGAGGCCCGTCATCCCTGACTGACCATCTGACTTTCCCTTTGAGTCATTTCCTTATTTGGAGGTTCTCATTAGTAGAACCAGGGCCTCCTCCGCCCTCTGGGTGCAGACCTGCAGGGCTCCTCCACAGGACGGGGCTGGGGGCTGAGGAAATGTCCTAGAGATGTGAGAAATGAGGCCAGACAGACAGAATCACTCGGAACCATCCCAGAAGAGTTTACTGGGCAGGGACAGACCTTGGACGCAACTGACCTCCTGGACACCCGGGCCACCGAGCACCCTGCTGGTGTGGTATCCTGTGGAGACCTCTGGGCGACAGCCACGGCCTGAGGGTTGCCGTCCGAGCGGAGAAGTGGTCAGGGAAGATGGAAGGCCGCGCAGCACCGCTGACGGACCACGGCCACCCCCTGCCGGGCAGGTGCCCCTGGGCTTCCTGAGCTGGCAGGACACACTCTGAGGCGGAGCCCAGCTGGTGGGCAAACGGCCTGGTGCAGGTGGCTTTGCCATTCTCTATTGCTGACACCATCAGTTTTGACCTCAAATGTGGCCCAGCAAGGACGACTTTGTTGGAGAAATCAGTGGATGAAGCAGCTGCAGCCCAGCTGGGCTGACGGCAGAGCTTCGGTGGACTTTGGCCACTCGGGGCAGGCTGCGATTCCTCCTTTGCCCTACCCAGGCCTCTGGGTATGAATAGCGAGTGAGAGAGGGGTAAGAAGGAAAGGAACTCGAGCCACAGGTTTGGGGTAGAGTCTACCAGGGGCGAGATGAAAAGATCCAGCCTCACAAGGCCCCCCGGGGCAGGGCTGGGCACCACACCATCCCCGCAGTGGTCTGTCCAGTCCCAGCATAGCCTTGTGTCCTGTGTCCTTCTCCAAGCTGAGCTTAGTATCAGGCTGGAAAGGATCATTTCAAATGCAACTCGACTCGTGCATTGAGTGTTTCTCCCAGGATATGGTAAAGTGCTGTGCCCTTCAGAGCAGAGGTCCCCAAATAGATCCAAACGCATCTGTACCTTCAGACTGAAAATGTTCTAGAGGCGATTCTGAGAAACTCAGAAGGAAAGTGCTTCTTAGGATACACTGAGGAACCCACTGCCCTGGCTTTGGCATAATGTATCACCTATGAAGAAGTAAAATTTTACAAGCCCCAAAATACTACATGCTAAACAGACAACTTAGATGCCCAACCTCACCTAAGCATTCTGACATCTGTTGTCACACGTCCCCGCAGTCACTGAGAAGGCAGCATCCCTTGCTTCTGCACACAAAGGCACCGGAAGGGAAGGTGGCGGCAGGCTGCGAGCACGTGGAGTTGGAGAATGCCAGCTTTCAGGCTCCCTCCTGCTCTAAGATCCAGCAGATTCCAACTCTTCCAACGCAGGGTGCGGGAGCTGCTTGACTTCTCAGCTGGGCAACTTCTTCTGCATCTTAACTACCAAGGAGGCGCTGGCCGGTGAGTTTTTATTTTTCCACGATATTGTAAAAGAGCAGGTCAGCACCCAGTGAAGGCAGCACATACGAACACCTGCAGCAGCTGTGCCAGGCTTCCACCCGGTCTGTGCTCGGCAGCCGAGAGTCCCCTTCCTCAGGACTCTAAACTCCCAGGTGCCCGCAGTTTGCACATAACCAGGGGTGGGGGTGGCTGCTGTCAGGATAGGAGTCCTTGAGGTCGGAGCTGGGAGGCTCTGCGGCCTGCCTCCTGCCTCTGAGGCTGCTGAACACCTTCTGGTAGGAGTGGGTGAAGGCCGGGTTGGAGAAGTAGTCAGCTGGGTTCAGCACACTGTGCAGGTGGGTGCACCTCGGCCATGTGCACCGTGACTGCAGGACACTGCAGCTTTGTGACCCTTGGAGGGTGTGCATGAGGACCCTGGTCAGGACGCTGGGCAGAAAACACAGCCCAAGGAGCAGCAGCACAGCAGTGACCAGCACCTTGGCCCTGAGAAGCCTGGGCTGCTGGTGGGACACGCGGATCCTTCTCTGGAGGGTCCTGATGATGCTGGCGTTGCAGAACGAGATGAGGCCAAAGGGAAGGAGGATTTGGAGGAAGAAGAGCACCTCCTGCCCCGTGGTGCTGGGGTAGAAGCTGGGCCACTTGGTGGAGTTCTGGGGAGCCTTGGAGACCAGCAGGCTTTGGTGGGTGAGAGCAGCCAGCAGAAGCCACACGAGGCCCGAGATGCCCCAGGCCATCCTTGGGTACAGAAGTTGACCTTGAGCCGTGGGTGGAGCGCACGCAGGTTCCGGTGGCAGGCCACGTTGGTCAGGAAGGCCACCCCCACTCCACGGCTGAGGAGCAGCAGGCAGAGCAGGGCCTGGCAGGACGTGAGGCTGGGGCCCCAGGCCCTGTGTCTCAGGTGGAAGGCTGCGTGGAAGGGCAGGCAGGCGGTCAGCAGCAGGTCTGCCAGCACCAGGCTGAGCAGGTACACAGTGTAAGGCTTCCACACCTCGAGGCGGAAGAAGGTCCACAGGGCAGCAGCATGGCCCGGCAGGCCCAGCCCACACTCCAGGGCCAGCAGCACGCCCACCGCTGTCTCCACGGAGGTGCTGGGGGCCGAGCAGCTGGGGCGCACCATGGCCCTAGGCCCCCTGTGCCGGGGAACAGTCACAGGAGCAAAGCCCCCAGAGCTGGCTCCACGCTCTCCCTAAGAGAAAAGAAAGGCTTTTCCTGCCACAGAGCAGGTGAGTTCCGCGTTTCCCCAGCGAGAAGACGCAGAGCCAGCGTGGGACCCCCGGAGGGGCCGGGAGGGAGGCTCTGCAGGGAGGGGCAGCCGCCGCTGTGCTGTTTTGTTTCACCCTGAAAGTGGGAAACGGTGTTTCACTTTGTATCACTGGACTCCAAAGCCGAGGCTACCATGTCCTGAGAACAGAGCTGTGTGCCCAGCCCCTGAAGTAGGAACTGGCACACTCACTGTCATGAAGACCCCGAGCCTAAACATGCTCCAACGAGGACCAAGCAAGCTCCCCTCTCTGAGTGTGCGTCATGGAGAAGCGCGCTCCTGCTTTCCCGGGCACGCGACCTCGTGGTGACGCTCTGCACAGGGCTGCTTCTCAACACGGGGTCCACTCTGGTTCCCACCTTGCCGTGAGAGGCCTAGTGTTGTCCTGGCCACTCCTGGCTCACCGTTCTCACGTGTCCTCCTGTTTTGTCAAAGCTTTATTCCTCCTGCCAAGGAGTTTTCCTGGGCCAGCCTGGGCTGGGGCCTGCCAAGACCCCCAACCCCCTGGACTGTCAGGTTCATGACTCGGGGAACCCTCTGTGTCCACCGTGGCTCCCCTAGTGCAGACACTGTGCCTGGGTCAGTAAATATTTGTTGGACACATGCCTGCCATCCTTACCCACTGTCTTCCGGGTGGATTCTTGGCTCTTACCCACCGTCAACCTGACTCATCCTGGTCCTCACCCGTGGTCCACCCTGTGTCACCTGGCCCTTCCCTGGGTTGACCTAACTCATCCTGCTTCTGGTCTTTCTGGCCTGGGTTTTGGAGTCATGTCTGTGTGGCACTTGGGCCGTTGTGAAGCTCCTCTGCTCTTCAGCTTGACACATGTCATCGTTAGCCTCTCTCTGACGCTTAGACTTAAAATAACTCTTTTTCTCTTACTATGGTAATTCATGTTGGCACCAAACCTCAGTCTGCGGAGTGTTGATGTCTTCACTTCTTAGCTCTAAGGCTGAGGATGTAAGAAGACCCCAGAAATAATTATCTGTGATTTCACGTGCATGTTAAGCTCCGTCCCATGCCACCGTATGTCAAGTCCATGCATATCAACAGCGAGAGGCAGCAGGTACACATGGCGTGGTGGCTGGTAAGAGGTGGGACAAGGCCTTCTTGGCTCAGATTCCCACGGGAGCCTGGATCTTGGCCACGCTGTTCCTCAGCTTCCCTGTGGACAGCATGGTGAATTAGATTCCCTCCTGGGTTTGTGAAAAATCTTGTCTGTAGGAGGTCACTAGGGCTCTTGGTCTGCTGGACAGCTGATTACATCTGACCTCACCTGTTGAGGCTTGCCTTTCCACTGGACTCCTGGCCCACAGATCACCCACCTGGCAGGATGCATACTCACCTGTCTCTTCATTTGCTAAGGAGTGCATTTCCTGAGTCTCCCAAGCATCGAGAAGAGCGCAAATGTTCAACTGTTCCACCACAAGGCCATCTTCTGCAGACGAGGGCCCCCAAGGCGTGCTCATTAGGAAAAGATGCCCCAGGAAGGGGAGGCCGTGGGTTAGGGACAGCTGGTGACAGGGCCTCTGGTCTCTGCGGATGTTGTCAGGCACATGAGCTACACTCAGAAGAGCTGGCGCCTCGCTAAGTGCTTCAGGGAAGCGGAGCCACTGTAGGAAAGACAGGGAGTTCTCCCAAGGAAACCTGCAGATCACAACCCCTTCACCGCAGACCTCAGTTTATAAAGTGACTTTCTGAATCATAGGCATTCTTGCTCTTGGTAGCATAAACATTTGTAATGTATTTAAAAACATTCTCCTCTCGGGCTGCGGCTGTAGCCCAGGGGTAAAGTGCTTGTCTCACATGGTGAGGCTCTGGGTTCAACCTTAGCACCACATAAAAGGCAAATAAAGATGCTGTGTGTTCATCTATAACTAAATAAATATTTTAAAAATTCTCTCAGGACACAGATTCATCTTCTCTGCCCCTGAAGGTCGGTGTGTGGGTCTTCGCTGTGTCTCGGTTTCCCAGTTTTCTTCCCAGTTTGCTGTTTACTTCTGACCATGACCAGAGAATGGCTGTCAGTGCAGACTGGGCAGACCTCGGATTGGGTTCTCTGTGGCTCGCTGCAGGAAGCCAGCTGGGGCTCGGGGAGGGTGGCGCCCACAAGACAGCCCCCCCCAATGCCCACTGCGAGTCGGAGGTCCTAAGACCACCCTCAGCTTCCACAGACCCCCGAGGGACCCTCAGCACCGAGAGCTGTCTGCTGCATAGCTACGGTTTATTGGGGCAAAGTCACAGTTCCACGCGGCCCAGGGAAGAGGAGTGTGGGACAGCCCATGTCCTCCCGCGGACCAGGGCAGCTTCCCCAGAATGGACGATGACATGATGCCTCCATATGGCCTAAGCCTTAGGGTTCAGAGTGTTTTCTGGGGTCCATCCAAGGTGTGGCTGTCCACCCAGTGGCTGACCGTGATCTGCTGCTTCGGTGGAGGTTGACCCTGTGTGGGCCAAGGCCCCGCCGGCAGCACTGTGGCCCAGAGGCCCCACTCCTCCTCACACCGCCGCTCTGGCTGGCCGACCTTCCCGGGCCAACAGAAACGTCCTCCTGGGCCTTTGAGGGCCTGGAGATCCAGCCACAGTTATTTATTGGTTGTTTATTTGACAACTTTAGAATATAAGAAGTGTAACTCGTTTTGTGTTGAGAATGAAAACCCCTGTACACCTGTGACGTCAGCGGCTTCTGTTCTGGTCCATTGCTGGGCAGCAAATGGACGCGACCTCTTGGGTGCCTGCTCCTCCTGTGCGGCAGGAGCAGTGCCTGACCTCCTGTGGCTCCCCTCAGCTGTCCTGCTGACCTCTCCCTCCTGTCCAGGGGGAGACTGAGCCTCAGGGGGAGGAGCTGTGTGTTTCCAAAAACCAGGGAATCCTTTAAAAAAAGAAGCTAAATGTGCAGGGGTGCCCCCTTGTCAGGTGAGAAGCCACAGCCACGCGGCAGCCCTGGGAGGCCCTGAGAGCATGTTTGCCCTCGTGGCTTGGAATAGAAGAGTCTGGGCAGCCCAGAACGCCCCCAGGCATGAATATACTCAGGAGGAATTGTGATCACCCAGCATCTCATTTTGTTTTGAACATAATTTTATTGTGGTTGAAAAGCATTTTAATTGATATCAATTCATTGATATATAGATTCATCATTATCTATTCACTGATATAGATTCATCCATATATTGATATAAGATTCATTGATATCAATTGATCAATATCAATTCATCATTATATAAATTCATTGTTATAGATTCATTGATTGGGATTCATCAGTATAAATTCATCTACATATGTTAGATGTAAGATTCATTATACAGATTCATCAATATAGATTCATTATTATAGTTTCATTGATATTGATTAATCTACATAGGTTCTTTAATATACTGATTCATCAATATAGATTCATTGATATTGATTTATTTATAGAGCTTCATCAATATATAGATTAATACATATTAATCAATATAGATTATTGATATAAATTCATTGATATAGATTCATCCATACTGATTGATCTATAGACTCATTGATATATAAATTCATCAATATAGATTCATAAATATAGTTTCATCCATAGAGATAGCTCAATGTAGACTCATTATTATCTATTCATTGATAAAGATTCATTGATGTATAGATTCATCAATACAGATACATTGATATAGATTCTTCAATATGCATTCATTGATATAAATTCATAGATATATAATTCATTAATGTAGATTCTTTAACATATAGATTCACTGCTATATATTCATTGATATATAGATTCATTGATATAGATTCATCCATATATAGATTCTTTAATGTTTCCTTGATATCAATTCATTGATATGAGATTAATCGATAAATAGGTTGTTCAAAGATGATAAATTGATATCAATTAATTGATATAGTTTCATTGTAGATTCATTAATATACATTCATCTGTATAGATTCATTGATATATACATACATCAATGTACATTCATCAATATCAATTCACTTATATTGATTAATATATAGATTCATCAGTATACAGATTCATTGATACACTTTCATTGATATAAAGATTTATTGATGTAGAATTATTATATGGATTCATCAAATCAACTTGATATAAAATTAATCGATACATAGGTTCTTCAATGTTGATAAATCAATATTGATTAATTAATATAATTTCATCATTATACATTAATCTCTATAGATTTGTTGATAGATACATTCATCAATACACATTCATTGATATTGATTTATTGATATATAGGTTCACCCACATAAGGATTCATTGACATAGATTCATTGATGCAGGTTCATTGATATTGATTCATTGATATGGATTCATCAATATTGATTTGACATCCACTCATCAGTATCAAATCATCAATATTGTTTCATTGATATATATTAATTGATATAAAAACAATATAGATTCATCTATTTAGATTTATCACTATCAATTTATATAGAATATATGATATACTGATTCATCAATATAATTTTCATTGATACAGATTCATCAATATGTTCATTCATATAGATTAATTAATATATTCCTCAATATATAGATTAATTGATATCAGATCACCAATATAGATTGATATAGAATCTGATGTATATTGATTCATTGATGAAACTTATCATAGAACTCTGGGTGAACTTCAAATGTTTCATAGACACTAGTTTTTATTAATACTTAAAACCTCCCAACTATTTAAGAATAAAGATTAAAATACTGAAAAAAAAGAAAAAGCATTTTAATTCTAGAAAATAATATTTAAGGGGAATTTAAATCATGGTGCTGGAACTTCAACACTGTGTTTTAACACGAAGTGTTCAAATGGGTTTCTTAGGGAAAAGTTCATTTTTCTCATCTTTTTCA